GGGTGACTCTATTTTAAAGGCCATAATTATTGACCATGGGGCAGGTAACCTCCATATTAATGGCCATGGTGGCAATAGGGAATTACTCCATATTAATAGCCATGGGGTGGGGGAGAACTCAATATTAATGTCCATGTAGGGGGGGGTGGTAACTCTATAATATTCCGTGGTTTTGGAATGTTATATCCAACAAGCTCATATAGGTGTGGTGGTCGGAGCTCCATAGACTTTTGACCATTTTACACACCATTGGTTGGCGTTTAGCGGACACGTTTCTACCCATCCAATCTCCCCAATCTTCTCCCTCATCCAATCTGTTTGTAAGACTCACCCATGACTATACATAAATACTAGAAGATCCGAGTGATGAAGATGATGTGATTATCATTGTTTATTTCTATATCTGGCTTATCTCCAACACACAAAACTCAGACCGTCCAATTATAATGATGTCGGGGGAGGTGCTGGTCCGTTGGGCTTTGTAGACCTCGGCTGTCCTCGGGAAAGCAGACCGCTGATAATTCTCAGCCGATATTAATATAAACCGACTTCAGCGCCGCAGGAAGAGCGAACGCTGGACGGGGGGAGATGGAGATCTGCTCTCTCATTATTCTGGAAGGATAAAAGGAAGAATCCCATCCAGTCTCTTTATTGGACGTACGAAGGTAACGCAGGACATAGAATCCGGTAATACTAAGTGAACGGCCGGCATCTGGGGTCGGCTTTATGAAAGCTCTGATTGGAGGAAATTATTGTTTCCATATAATTGTGGAGCTGTAGCAGATGTGGAATCCTTCCTGTGACATAACGCTGAGCCTGTTCTAACAGTGATACTGAATCCAGCCCGTCTGGTACCATCACGTCACAGTCACATTCACTGAGATGACATTTTTTCCCCATTCTGGTGTTTGAACAATAAGTGAAGCTCCTGAATATCTGCCGGATTTCATACATTGTGCTGCTGCCACCTGATTGGCTGATTAGATGATCAATAAGCGTGTGTACAGGTCTTTCTAATAGATGCTCATTGAGTGCAGTATTGTGTAATGAAGAGACTTGGGTCGCTATGTACTTCACAATGCGTACGTCTTTATAATGTAATCGATTGATTGTCTATTGATTACCAATCACCTGATAAGTCTATGCACAGTCCGCAATGGAAGCACTGAATATGTCATGTTGAACAGCCAATATAATGGAAAAGTAATGGTGGAAAAAACTCTTGTGGGCTTACCCAATCATTTTTGATTACACAGTCCCTGGGATTACGGTTGTGGCAGAGTCATTTTCCTACATAATTTGTGGTGAAATCCGGTGAAATCCCTCTTTGTCATCTCAGAAAGTTGGAAGGTATGTGGTGAGGCCGGGGGAGGTGTGAAGATCATGAGATCTGACGAGAATCAAACTTAGTGGGGGATTCATGTGATACACAGTGCCACCCCCATTTCCCAAAATTCCCAAATCAGCAACAAAACAATCATCAATCAGGTCTATTGTGTGAGGACGGGCAAAGTGGAGAGACGCATCCCGACCAGAACACAGGATAGCTTCAAACCAGATTGAAACAACACAAAACAGGTCATCATAAGTCCCATTGTCATAAACCCCATTAGCGGGATTTTTCTGAATCCATAGTCTGCCACTAGCAGTCATAGACTTCCATTAGCCAAATCAGGTTTTAAAATGCCCGGCCTGGTATGTGACTCCCCAATACACATCTGTGATATGGTTTTTTCGAACCTCTCAGAGCTAAGTCTCATGCAATATCTCGCCACACCGTGCTGGAAGAGTAATTTCATCTCTACATTCTCTAACCAGAAATTAATCAATCCTTGCCTATGTGAGGGCCACCAGATTTTACACTCTGTACATTCCTGTCTGGTCGTGGTAGCGAGTGTCACAGACATTTTCCAAAGTCCAGAATTGCTACAGCAGATGCTGGGAAAGATGCTTATTTACATGAATACACAAGATGGTGGCTGTTGTTTATTTGATTAAAGGGATAACTGCAGAGTTATTCAAAGCCAGTGACAATCACTCTTACTCAGCTGGCACATAGATTGTAGACATGTGCGATTCGTTTCGTTACGAATCGAAATTCGTACGAATTTTCCTGAAATTCGTAAATCCGGAAGCATCCGAAATCCGGATTGCAGTTTCCGAATTATATCCGAAATACGAAATTCCATTAACGAATTTCGGATCCGAATTTCTTTGAAACGGGAACTAATATTACCCCCGTAAATGAGGAACAACGTGACAAGATTTTTTTTTAAATCCGAAATCCGGATCCGCTGCTGCTGAGAGTCGCATTACAATACACAGGCAGGAAATACGAAATTCCGTTGACGTATTTTCGTTCCGTTACGAACATTCGTTATATTGAAGGTAAAAAGCAAAGTACATTTATATTGGAGTTGATGAGTTTTTTTTAAAGTCCGAAATACGAAATTCAGATCCGGAATCCGTTAACGGAATTCGTATTTCGGATAAAAAAACAACGACCACATCGACTCCAATATTAACAAAGGTATTTTTGCTTTTTAACTTCATCATAATGAATGTTCGTAAAGTTACGAAAATGTGCCGAAACTAACGAAAATCCGTATTTCGTACCAATCCGAATTGGGTTTCGGACACGAATTACGAAATTTCAGACTCTAAGGTTTGTTTTATCCCATTAGGTGACAAAGACCCTCCAGTATATTTATCCCCCATAGAGAGCTGTGGACTCCGGTGTAGAAGACAATCAGCAGAGGAATGAAGGACATCAAAGTCAATGCCACATTCTATCCCACGTCATTCATCCTGGTCGGGATTCCTGGACTAGAAGGAGCTTATAACTGGGTAGCTGCTGGTGTTTGCTTTTGCTGGGAAAGATAGTGCTGGCTTTGCTGGGAAACATAATGCTCCTGACAATCATCTCAGCATCTTCTGTCCTCCACAAGCCTATGTTTATTTTCCTTTCCCTGTTGGCCTTAAATGACACCCTTCTGTCCACAAGCATAGCTCCTAAAATGCTGTCTGTCTTCTGGTTCCACGAGGGACACATTAGTTTTGTGTCATGTCTCCTCCAGATGTTCTTCCTCCATTCTTTCTGCAGCTTTGAGTCGGGCCTTTTGCTTGGAATGGCGTTTGACCGTTATATTGCCATCTGCCAGCCGCTCAGATATGGGTCCATAATAACCAACATCTTCATCGTCAGGCTGGTCATCATCATACTGCTCAGAGCGGTGGCTTTGGTTGGTTCTTGCGTAGTTTTGATCAATAACTTTCCTGCATTTAAAACCAACATTGTGGCCCATTCGTACTGTGAACACATGGCGATTGTGAAACTTGCTGCTGCCGACATCAGAATAAACAGTGCTTTGGGGTTAACGGTGGCATTCACAATCCTAGGAGTAGACCTGATGTTTATCCTGGTGTCCTACTGCGCCATCTTCCATGCTGTCTTCAGACTTCCATCCAAAGACGCCCGACTGAAAACCTTCAACACCTGCATACCTCATGTGTGCGTCTTTCTAAGTTTTCATGGTCTGGCACTCTTCACTTTCCTGTCCCACCGGTATGGTGGTAAAAGAATTCCACCTTATGTTCATATAATGCTAGCAGATACCTACCTTCTAGTTCCACCCATGCTAAACCCAATGATTTATGGGGTGAAGACAAAGCTGATCCGGGAGCAAGTCTGGAAAATGTTACAGAAATATCAAAGCTCTCTATCAAAGGGACGGAATCTGTAGAGTTGATGCATGTTCATCCCACGCTCTGCAGACTCCTCCACAAACTTACTGATAGGTTAGATAGGTAGGTTCACCCAAAATTAACCCCAAGTATGCTTGACTGCGGAGGGACATGTAAGCTCCTCTGTACAGAGACTGATGTGACCGGCTCATTGTTCTTCATACAGCACGGTGTATAAAATGTGTGACTGTGGGGGTTGGATTTTGGTTATATCTACAGTATATAATGTACACTGTTAAACTGAGGGCGTGTCTTGATGCTCCTCGACAAACAATATTTACTTCTGGCTCCCAGCACATTACACTTTGATTGTATCATCCATTAGGTTTAGGTAAAATGCTTCCAAATAAAATTATCTTTCAGTTCAAAAGAATTGAACACGTGTGGTCGGCTTCACAGTCCAATATGAAATGTTCCACATGTTCCCATCATATCCAGAGTCTAACAGAAATATCAATCTATCTATTTATTAATAACATAAGACGGGGAAACAGAAATATAACTAGTCACAAGGGTTAGGGTTAGGCACCGGGTGATAGGAATCCCTGCCGCCCCGAAGCCGAGCCTCAGTTGGCCTTGTGGGAAATCCGGCCCTGTGTACTTCAGAGGTTTTCTGGATCTGTCAATACTTCCAGCTAATACCACTACTTAGGGAAGAGAGTTCCACATTCTTGCTGCTCAGAGCATAAGGAGCCCTCTCTCCAATTTTACAATAAATCTCTTTTCCCAACCCTAAATTGTGGCCGTGTGTCCTCCTCAGAGACCTGAGACTGAACAAGCTGTTACCAGCTTTACCATCACCATTGATTAATGTGTAGACGGCCATCATGTCTCCTTCTAAGCCCCTCCTTTCCGAGAGAAATACCTTTCCATTACTCATAGCTGAGGTCCTCAAGCCCCCTTATTAATTTTGTTGACTTTTGCTGGACCCTTTCCAATTCTAGGACAACCCTCCTGATGATGGGAGACCAAATCTGTATTAAAAATGAGGCCCAAACATGGACTATGTTGCTGCTCAGCTTTCCCAGATAGCCCATTGGTTCCAGAACAATAGTCCTCAGAAGGCTCAGCTTTTGGGATTTCCTTCTCCTCCGGGTTCGCTACAGTTGCTGTATGAGTTGCTTGAGAGGAAATTAGATAGGGCCCCCAACTCTTCCCAAATTTGTGTCCAAGCCTCCTGTATTTGGGATTGATCTGCAAAGCATCACTTCAAATCCTTTCACTTCCATGTACCTCTTGGGGTTCTATCTAAACTGCAGAAGGTTCCGGATTTTGTGTTTTGGGTCACAGAGTATCTGAGGAAACTCTTAAATCCTTTCCTTTATTATCTTCTCTACATGGGCTGACACGTCATCATAATTTTCGCTTCTTACAACTTCAATATGCATTCTGTGCTCAATTTCCTGACCCCGCTCCTGTTGTCGATAAGTCTGATCTTGCTGGAGCAGTGCGGGGTGGCCACAGGAAGGGGTGTTACCTAACTTATAATACCACTTTCCATAACAAGATCTACAACAGGGTCCCTCAGCATTCCCCCCCCACACCTTGTAAACTATTGATGTTAGGCTGACTGGTCTGTAGTTCCCCGGTATACATCTACGCCCTTTTTTGAAGATTGGAACCATATCTGCACTTCCCCAAGCAGTCGGTACCATTTCAGTCATTAAGAGTCTTTACAAATCAGAAGGAACTTGTGGGTGTAAGCCATCCAGCCCTGGTGACTTGTTTATATTTTGCTTCTCCAGTCAGTTTGCACCCCGTGTTCTGACAACCATCGAGGTACTTCCCTTGCATTACCATTACATGGTATTATAATGACTTTTCCTTCATAATTCCTTCTTTATCTTGTGTATAACCTGAAGAAATGGATGTAGTAAGTATGTTATTCTTATCCATGTCCTGTGTGACCAAACTCCCAATTTCATCCTCCATGGGGCCTACTTATCCTGTCCTTATCGTTTTACTGTTGATACATTGCCTGTCCAAAAAAAGTCACCTCCTGGATTTAGCTAAGCATATAGGTCAGAGCCTTCCATTGGATAATAGGTCTAGGTTTAGCAATTCTATGTCCCCAAAAAATGCGGTCAGCTGTCTACCTGAATGTACGGAATGATCAGGTTTTTCCATCAATGGATTTTTTATTTCCTGATGGCACATTGGGCATATTCCTAGATGACAATGCAGGGATTCATCGGGCTCAAATTGTGAAAGAGTGGTTCAGGGAGCATGAGACAGCATTGTCACACAAGTATTGGCCACCACCAGACCTGAACCCCATGGAGAACCTTGGGGATGTGCTGGAGAAGACTGTATGCAGTGGTCTGACCTCCCATCATCACTACAATACCTTGGTGAAAAATGAATGTAACTCTGGATGAAAATAAACCCTTAAAACAATCCAACTTCTCCTCTATGTTCTTTGTTATGAATATTTGGTCCCATTTAGTCTCACATAGCAAGGAGAACAACTTGAAGTTGGCTTATTTGGAATTTAGAGTTCTAGGGGCACCCTCGTGTCTCTCTATCCTGTAACATAAAGTGTAATTACACTGTGGTGACTATTGTCTATGTTGTCCCCAACTTGTAATGAGCTCTGTGCTATTAGAAATAACCACATAGAGCAGATAATGTTTTCTAGCTGGACCCTCTACCATATGACCCAAAAAAAAGATCATGTAGTGAGTTCAGGAACAGGCTAGCCTTAGTGGAGTGTTTAGGGTCATTTGTCCAACCAGTCCTGGGTAATTGAAGTCCCCCATAATAATAACAATACATTATATCCACCAGTGAAAGAAGACGCCTCTCTTCCTCCATAATGTGAGGTGACCTGTACCATACTACTATAAGTCATTTACTATTGGTAGCACTCGTATGCAACTCCAGCCATAAAGACTCAACTCCATCACAGCCCTCCTTTGATATCCTCTCTCACATCCTCTTGTCCATTTCCTATAGAAATACCCCACACACAGACCTCCTCTATGAACCCTGTGCCTGTTAAAGAGAAAGCCTAACCTTTCATATTCGCAGCCCAGCCTTGTAGGTCCATCCAGGTTCCTGATATTCCCACAAGCCTGTAACAGACTTACCCGTCCTCGGTCCAGCGCTGTCTGGCGGGGCCAATCACGGCCAGCTCGGCCGTTAGCTCCTCCCCTTCAGGGCCGTTCAGAATGGCCGAGCCTAAATCCTCCTCCAATATAAAAGGTTCTAGCTCATCCACTTTATTTGCCAGACTTCCAGTATTTGTGTACACGGCTTTTCATTTTGTTTCAGTACCTATCTTTTTATTATTTCCCGCCCTTATATTGCAATTTGTAATTGTTAGATTTCCTGCTTTGGTTTGAGGGTTAGGTCGGGTTTAAGGTTGGGTTTAGGTAAAATTATTTCCTCACTGTCTGGTTAATGACCTGCATCCCCCCCCCTTCATTTTTCCCACCTCTATACCCTGTCTCCGCATTAGTTCCTGGCCACTATAGGTTTAATTCTCTTCATATCCCCCCCCCCCTAAGACTCTAGTTCAAAATCTCCTGCAACCTTCCAGCCATTTTGTCCACCAACAGAGCTGCCCCCACCTCATGTGGATGCCGCCCATCCAATATGCACTATGACAGGTCTATCAACTCTGGACTGGCCTCTCCAATGCTTTTCACCCTACTCCATCTTCTAACTGTCACTGTAGCTTTCCAAACCTGGATACTGCACCTCCATTTCCCCACCCTCCTTTATGCTGGTCCTGACAGCACCTGATGTTTAAGGTCCAGGCACCATTCCATGTTGTTAATGCTCCGCAGAGTTGCCAGTTTATTCTTTAGATCAAGAATCTGGGCTTTCAAACAAACAGTTAGCTCACATCTTACACAACAGGGAAGTATAGGCATCATCAGAATTTACCTGCTGGTTGATGTAGCACCTACACGGCCAGTTCCCGTCCAGCCTGTCAATCAACCTCATTTTTCAGGGCTCGGAGCAGCATACATTGCCTGGACATTAGGTTCATTTCCTAGTCCCAGGCTGTAGTCCATGTGAGTTCCTGAGTTCCTTTTACTCCTGTTACTGATTTTAGCTTGTATTTGACTACACTCGATCATCACCCACCCTAAGCTTTTGTCTGTCCCTGTTTCTGATATTGCCTGTTGATGTGAACCATGCTATGGTTCTATCTCAGTTTAGCTGCCACCTGGCAGGTGTGCTTGAGGGCTACAACCTGGTACACCCACCAGGAAAGTCCATCACTCCTTTTGGGGTTCTCTGGGGAAGACTTGCTGGGTGTGCTAGGACACTGCACCTTGGCCTTTTTAAGGACTCACACCCTGTCCAATGTGCAGATACCACAGAGGGTCCTCTATATCATTTGTCCATGCGGTTCTCTCTGTGTTTCAGAAATGGCCTTTTTACCCATTAGAGACATTCCTCTCTCTGCTCTGACTTACATGGTGGTATGCCTTGTAGCCAATACCTATCATCTCTGAAAGGTATCGCATTTATTTTATTTTTTTCTTCAAGGCTTCCCTCTGAAAACATTCTTTTATTCCATGGATGGTATTTGGGGTGTTTCTTTAACCTTTTTATTAGATGTTTCTGTTGTTAGCGCCTTGGGGTGCTCAAAGTGCATCTGTTCCTGGAACTGCCGCATTAGTTGGTGGTAGAGTCTAAGCTGGTGGCTTTAGCTTACAAGAAATCCTTTCTTCATTTTTTTTTCGCATAGGGACCTGGTGGTACCTATGGAAGATTAGCCCTAAGGCCTTCTTCTCTATCAAAAGTACCCAACGTGCATTGCTGTCCCTGCTTGTGAGCAGAGCTAGAAAGGAAACTGGCTGTTATGTGCTCTTGAGGAAGAGGAGGACGATGAAGAGGAGGAAGAAGAGGGTGCAATAGAAGTACTCAAACAAATGGCTTCTGTGCACCCTTGAGGAGGAGGAGGAGAAGAGACAGGTGTCAGGAAGCAAGGGGTGTTACCTCTTAATGGAGACAATGGGCACGGCGCAGGGCACAGGTTCCC